AGTTAACAAACACCATTTTATACCTATTCTTGAAAATAATGCAACAAAAGTTTGCTAGGTGGAAAACTGGGGTGTTATCTCTAGCTGGGAGGGCAACACTGATTCAATCAGTGACCAATGCCATCCCAGCTTATACCATACAGACATTGGAGCTTCCTCATAAGGTTTGTGATGAGATTGATAAACTCAATCGTAATTTTCTCTGGGGTGATTCCTTGGAGAGGAAAAAAGTGCACTTAGTCAACTGGCAACATGTGTGTCATAAGAAAAAAAATGGTGGCCTTGGGATTAGAAGGGCTAGGGATCAAAATCTAGCCTTACTATCCAAGCTTGGCTGGAAACTGTTGAATGAGGAAGAGGGTCTCTTGTTAGAGGTCTTGAGAAATAAATACCTGGGAAATCAACACTTTCTCAGTAAGAGGAAGAGTAAAGTTTCCTCCCATATCTGGAAAGGGATCCTGAATACCAGAAATTTCCTTGTCAAAGGGGTTCATTGGACCATAGGTTGGGGCTCTAAGGTGAGAGTTTGGAAAGACTGGTGGTGTGGTGAAAGGGCCTTGTTTGAGGCTTCTACTACTAACACAAGGCAAGCCATTGAGATGGAGGATACCACTGTGGACTCCCTTGTTGATATTAATGGGGAGTGGAATTTAACTCACATCTATAACACTTTTCCTATGCCCATTATATCTGAGATTCTGAAAATTCAGCCCCCTAGAAATAATGGTGGCAGGGACAAACCGAGATGGAGAAAGTCTCCTGATGGGGATTTTTCTACATCTAGTGCATATGACCTTATTATGCAGTCTCAATCCTTGGAGAATAATTGGGTTTGGCTTTGGAAACTCAAGATTCCTCTAAAGATTAAGAGCTTCTTGTGGCTTATTTTGATTGGAAAACTAATGACAAATAGAATCAGACACACGAGGAGTTACAGTGACAATCCCAATTGCCCCAGATGTGAAACTGTGGAAGATCTAGACCACTTACTGCGGCTCTGTCCTACTGCCATGAATATTTGGAAACAGGTTTTTGATCAAGCTTGGTATTTGAAAATGTGTGCTCTCCCTTTTGATGTTTGGTTAACTCTGAATATTAAAGGGAAGCATTCCCAACCTCAGCTTTTTGTTATCTCTCTATGGATTATTTGGAAAAATAGAAATAAATTGATTTTTGAGAACAAACAACCAAACTGCCATGTTTCGGTTAAGCTAATTTTTTATTACACTAAAGAAGTTAAAAAAGCCTTTGAATCTGTTGTTACTACCCCTTTACAGACTAAAAGCTCATCTTTGTGGTTGTGTCCACCTGCAGGGAGAATCAGACTCAATACAGACGGAAGTCTTAAAGGTACTAATAGCAATGGAGGATTCGGTGGGCTGTTTCGGGATGAGAAAGGAAGTTGGATTAGTGGATATTATGGCAGAATGGAGAGATGCACCAGCTTGGAGGCGGAGCTCTGGGCAGTGTATAAAGGGCTCACGATCATTCTGCAGCGAGGAATGAACAAGGTAATCATCGAAACGGATGCAGAACAAGTGGTGCAGCTGCTAAATGAAGAACCAGGTACTAAATGCCCTTTCCGTGGCATTGTGGAGGACTCAAGGATCATCTTAAGGGGCTGTGAGTGTACAGTCCAATATGTCCGCAGAGGAGGCAACATTTGTGCAGATGATTTAGCTAAACTTGGAGCTAATCAACCTCTTGAGTTGCTCATTGTGAATGAACCTCCAGACGAAATTCGCCATGCGTTAGTTGCGGATTTGTTGTATCTGGATGGAAGTAATGAGGCCTAGTCCTCTTGTTTTTCTTTTAATTTCTGATGTACCAAAAAAAAAAAAAATACATGACTAACAGTACAAAGATATCTCTTGAAAATAAATGAAAACAAAAACAACAAAACATGTTGGACAACCCAAATATATCTTTTTTGATTTTTTATATTTAACATAAACTTTGATTTTTGGCAATACTTTTTATTTATTTATATTTTTGCTCCATCTTCTTGGTCACCCAATGTTGTCCCACTATTACTCCGTTTGTAACATGTAGCTCATTAATTCACTAACCTCTGGCATATGCACTCCTAATTTGTCCTATGCAAGTGCACATAATAGTAATGAGAAAAATAACAGCTATAGTTATAAACTATTTGTATCCTGCGGTTCAAAACTTTTTAAAATAATAATAATAATAATAATAATAATAATAATAATAATAATAATAATAATAAAGGGGGTAATAACAAGAATAGGACATACCTTAACCTGAGAAAATTTGGTCAACGCCAACCACAATGCCATGTAAAAACACAAGAATGTCACTAAGTGAACAAGGGACAGTGTATCTATAAAGAAATTGATTGATAAATCTATTATTTGAGAGAGACCTACCCACTCAAACTTTTTCACCGAAGGTCTGTCTGCGAGGATATCTAAAGGCAAAATTGGAGTCGAATAAGCCTCCTGAAAATGGTAACAGTGAAAAGATTGCAAATCATTCACATTAAACAGATAAATACATGTGTACACATTTTTCTATATATACAAATGAAATGGCTAGAATGCCAAACCTGTAGAGCAGCCTTTGTGGGATGCGGAATGTGATAACTGCCAATGCACCATAGAACAGTGCTTGTAGTACTTCGGACTCCAATTCAAAAGCATGCGATACAAGAGGGCCACTGCCGATTATACAAGTTAGCATGATAAAAATAAAGATATTAATTCAACAAATTGGAATATAGAGTCTTTGCAGAATGTGAAACTCACACATCAAGCCTTTCTCATGACATTGAAGTGTTTCCATTGATAATGTGAAAAACATCTTTGGACTAGCTATCATCAGTTAGACTTACATCATATGTAGTCCTGAAGATACAATACAACAATGTACAGAAAATACCAAAGTGTAAGAGGGCATAATGTAATCAAGAAAAGTATGAAATTACACCCAAGAAAAGTCAGCAGTTGTTATTAGGAGGAGAGAGTGAGAGAGTACCAAATATCAACAAGAATCTTATGTAAGGCATTAACAACACATTCCACGAAGTGAAATGGTTGAAAAATTAACCGTGTGATCATAGTTTGAAAATAGATCAGATTGCATTAATTTAAATCTTTATAATCAAATAGTTACTCAATAGGAGAAAATGAAACTTGGATAGAACAACTTAGTAATGATGCTCCTACCACCAAAGGCATGCTGGTTGATGGTCCCAGCATATTGTTAGCACAATCAATATCTTCTACTGTGTGCCAGAGATAGTCAATTGCTAAGAATGATATTAGGAGCCAATGGTACCAAACCTTGTGTTGTGTCCCAATCAGGTGGAGTCGACTACATAAATCATTTTTTACTATTTCGTTCTGTCAAGGGCCATATGCTCAGTTAAATATGCTTATTTAAATTAAATAAATTCATATCATTTTTACTACCACAAAAAGTGAAAAATGAGTAATAAAACAAAAATCAGTCTCTCCTTTACATTAACTTTCATTACTTAGAACCCTTTGAACACAGGAATCCATTAAATACTAAGAAGTAAAATTTTCAATGTGTAGTAGGAATGAAACCAATACCCTTTCCTTGATCAAACCTTTTTTTAAATATCAAATAGTCATGACAACAAAGTAAGAAAAATGAACCCAATACGAAAAAAGAAACATGATCAACTCATAACAGGAAACTAAATATATTTGGCTCCATAACTACAATGGTCAATTGAACATTTGCCTCTGATGAAAAAGCAAAAAGTCTCTTTGTTCCAAAGGCAAGTATCGAATGCTAATTTTAGGTTTGCAAGCAAATGCAACTTACAGAAATGATCACTACTCTCGATGAACTCTATTACCAAGGAAAAGAATACTGAGGTTTTTATGTAATAATTTTTACAGAAAAACAGAGGTTTCAAAAAAGAACTTGTGTAAAATTTGATATCCAATTTTAAAGAATTGATCAAGCTTTCCCAGGCATTTTTATTTTCTTTTCTTTTATAAAAATAAACTATGTACAAGAATTAGAATTAGTAAAATTAGTGAATTAGAAAATAAATCACAATCAATCTCCGTAAGAAGATAAACATGGACAGTTAGTTAGAATATAAAATAGAAACAGTATAGAGCTAAATTAACCAGCATCCTCCAAAAAATGAATATGCAAATTGTGCAATCAAAGAACATAATTAATCTCATATAAGATCATCACAAATTCACTCGCGATAAATAAATGACACTATCATGAATCCAATGCACACATGAAAACAATATCTCTTGGAGAATGCAAGAGGAAGGGCTAAGTCGATCTAGAGATAATTTCATAGAGATCAAAGAAGACTAAAAAGAAAGGAAATGGTGGAATCGCATACGCAGATCCTTGGTTGTAGATGTCAATGGAAGTGGAGACACGTTCGACATCGGACTTGAGCCTGGTGAGAGTGGCCTTCTTGTGGGTGACGATGAAAGGGGCGTCCGAGCTCGCCAGTGTCAAGAACAAAGCTGCTATCAGTACGGAGACCAAACATTTCGCGATCTGAGTCGCCATGGTTGAATTGAATGGTATGGAATGGTTCGTGTTCAAGTTTTTTATTATCCTCAAATTTCAATCATCATCATATTAAGTACCCAAAAACCCCCAAAAAAAAAAAAAACAATGCTCATTCATTAGCATGTCAAAAGCCACACACTACGTACCTCCAATTAGATTAGATTTTCAAAGAAATGAGCAAATGAAGCACTAACATACAGCAGAAGCAGCAAAATACAACAGAAGTATTAAAAAAAATTAAAAAAAATCTAAATGATAAACAAGAACAAATGCAGCCATCAAACTCACAATCCTAAGATAAAAACAGAGCAGAAAACTCTAGAAGAAGAAACCCTATCGATTTGGGTTTGGGTATGTGTGAAGGTATGCAAATGGAAGAACAAAACCCTAGAGGCTGAAATTAGGGGAAGAGAGACTGAAAGATAGAAAGAGGGCAAAATGGAGAGAGGACATACCTGGGGCAATGCTTCAATGGTGGATTGACGGTGGTGCTCGTGTTCGATGGCGATGATGCTCCCGTACCCGACGACGATGGAGACAAAAGCGAGAGAGAGAGCTGGAGGAGGGTAGAGGCGTGAGAGACTGAGAAAGAGAGAGAGAGAGAGAGAGTCATAGAGTGAGAGACAGACAAACATATGAGAGAGTTTGAGCGTGTTGAAGTGCATTTTTTAAACCTAGTTTATTTTCTTTCCCGACCAATTTTTGTAGTCGCCAATAATAAATAAAGACGTTTTTCCGACTAACGACTTTAGTAGCCAATTAATTTTCCCTCCAAAATCTGAAGACCAATTTTAAATTTTTTTAATTATAATCGCTGACTAAAATTTAGTCACTAAAAGTAAATTAATACTGACTAAATTATTTTTAGTAGCTAAAGATTATACATTTAGGGACCAAAATTTTTTTAGTCGCCTATAGGGTAATTTTTTAGCGACTTAAGTCATTTTTAGTCGCCTATTGAGTAACTTTTTAGCTACTAATTGTATTTTAGTCGCCTATTGGGCTATTTTTAGCGACTAACCGTTTTTTAGCCGCTGATTGGGTCATTTTTTAGCTACTAATTATGTTTTAGTTGCCAATAAGTAAAATACGGCTACTAAAAAATTTTAGTAGCTAAAATAGAAAACATTGCCGACCAATTTAAATTTTAGTCCCCAAAGGGCTGACTTTTGGCGACTAAATTAATTTTAGTAGCCAAATTTAGTCGCCAAAAGTGTAATTTCTTGTAGTGTATTTAAATAAATAATAAACAAGCTGAGCTTTACTTGAAGCTTCGTTCAGTTGCAGCAGTAGGCACACCTGCTCTCTCTCTCTCTCTCCCTCTGCAGTGATGCACAAGGGGCGCAAGTGGGAAACATGAGCATTTTGGTTTTAAAACACACTTCCTTGTCATATTTGGAAGCAAAGGGCTCCCCATTTCTTAAGCATCCTTTCAGAAAAACAAGTTTTCCACCCAATATTGCTTCTGGTAACAAAAGGTCCATCTATTATATATGTGTTTTGTTGTGCTTTCAGCATGATGCTGCTTAATCTTACGTGAACCTCAAGCTTGCCTCATTAAATATTAGAATGGATCCAACTAGTTTTCACTCTACCTCATCCAAAAATTATATTATCAATCTCCCATGCCCATCCCCCAAACTCAAAATGTTGAAAAATGTAAGAAGAAACAGCAATAAAGCACCTAACCACAAGAACTAAAATAATACTGTAAGCCTTTAAGTTCGTTAACACTTTTTTTGCTTCCTTCCAAAAGGTAAAATGAAGTGCTGCTAGTGAAAACTTAAAATTGGAAGTCTTTTGTTTTGCAAAACAGATCAATTTGAAAAGACAGCGGGGCTTTCCACTGCTCATTTTGTTTTCCCAAGAGAGCATTCATTTTCAGTTGGTTATCCCATTAACCCAATCAAAAAATATTTTTGTGATGACAACTGGAATATCATAGGTTATTTTCGGAAATTAGTTGATCTCCTATTTATTGTTTATTAAGAATTGGGTTGAAGTTGTTTTACCACATTTCTCTATTGAAGAGAGTCATATCCTTCATTTACCAATTTTAGATTTTAGAAGACAATCTTTTATTTTTCTATTTCCCTGTAGAAAATGATTTACATGGGAAAAAAAAGAAACATTGTAAAGATTTACTTGTCTTCCCTATTCGGTAATATAAATTGTTCAAATTACATGATAAGTTGATCACTAAAATGTTTGTACCTGTGTGTGATCTGTGGCATACTGCTTCCGTCTTTTGTCCAACTCGGAGTTAACTAAAGTTTCGACTTTGTCATCTGATAATTTTTCACTCGCAGTGGTAGACAATTTTGACCATTGCTTGTATTCATCACTCAAGTTGAGGATAGCCAAAAAATATTGAGCTAGTTCTGCTTCCCCAATTAAACAGTCATTAATAGCTCCTGCATTTCAAATTTAAAGCATGTATCAGAGTAGAATTGCTGAAAAATCTAAAGATCTCAATTATCTAACCAATCCCAAATAGGAGAGAATTTTGTGTGGCTTAAGAGAGTAACTCTAACACATTGTTTTTCACCCTGTTTGATCATGAAAGAGAGAATTTTTTATTAACCATACTTGTTAAAGCAAGTTTCAAATGCACCTCAGCATCAAGAATCTCTGGAGGCAAAACCTCAGCTATTACATGATAAACACATACAGATAAAGGAAGCTGAAAGTAAAGAGACATGCTGAAAAACCTCAACATAACAAAGGTCTTCTCTTATGACCATTTTTTTAGAGAAGATGAAATAATAAGAGAATTTGGAATGCATTAGCTATAATTCCCAACCCAAACAATTCTAGCAATATAGGCATAGATGAAAGAAAGATTACACACCTTCAAGTTGCTGATATCTTTTGTCTCCCCTGGCAGCGGACTCACTGTTGCATGTTTCAACTTTCCTTTCTCTTAAAAATAAAAATATGCCACCAAATTAATGACCATAAATACATATTTTTTCTTTTTACGAAAAAAAGACTCTTGAAAATTAGTTCTTCCAAATCAAACTTTTTAATTAGAAAATTAATAATGGATAATAGGATTTAATAAGGTTGAAGTACTCGCAGCACTAATCCGCCCAATATGATGCAAGGAGTTGGCCAGGGCTGACTTGCCAACATTGGGAATCCCAACTAGCAGCACTGTTATGTATGGTTAGCATGATCAGTCTTCTTCAATTCTCTAACTCGGGCTTGTAAGAAGTTCGGGAATTGTAAAATGTGAACTCCAATCAAATGCTGCTAAATTTGATAAACCAAGGTTGAATTGAGAAAATCAACTACAGAACAATGAGCTTTTATTGCCTTCTCAAAGATGAAGCTATTATGGGACTTTCGTTATAGACATGAAGTTCAGACTAGAGTCATCTATAAATAATGACCAAAAGTAATCCTTACCAAGTAAACCCCAAGTTCAAACAAAAGAAGAGAAACAAATCTTAAATAAGTTTCTACAATCCTTGTTTAGAACTGTTCAAGAGGTAATTGCATTTTTCAGTGCACCAATGTATGTGACTGCACAGTGAACCACTGCTAAGTAAGAACAAAACGGGCTCATTGCAAATGCCATCTTTAATGAACTATACTCAAATGATATATTCTACAACACAATGAAATAATTTCATTTCAACAGGTGGTCCAATGCCATGTTGTTAAATGCATTGTGAAAGAGTTATACCTCCTTGATATTCTCCTTATTATGAGAATTGACTCCATAAGAAATGGAGTTTTGTTGTTCAAAATATGACCTCCATACCTGTAAAAAGAGTAGGGAGTGAAGTCACAGGAGAGAACCCCAATAAACCCATTTGGGGGAAGTTTTGAATTGAGGTTTGCAATTAAAATTGTTAAACTGTTAATCACTGTACAAAGCAATAAACTGTTATTCAATTTATTTTTTTAAGAGAAGCATTAATTAATAAAATAATCTCTCATATTAAAACTAGAACATGAAGCATAGAAGATGTTGGGTTCTGATGCCAGTGACAATCCAAAGGATCAAATATGCAATGGTTTGATTCACTTACAAAAAAAAAAAATTCTTTCAGATATCTTGAAGGCCTCTGGTGCCAGTAACAAATTAAGGGATCAAATATGCAATGGTTTCATTCCGTTTTCATTCACGTGAACCAAACACTGTCTCTAAGGGTAAAGAATGATGTGTCCTATTTTCCTTTCACTTCAAGCTAAAATGCCCATTATTCTGGTTTATAATATTATTTTATTTTTTAAAAATGTCAATCTCGCATCATTCTGAACAAGATTTTGGTATAAAAACTCTCTGTTTGTAGATAATTTTCCTTACTATAATTAAACTGGTTATGTATAATCATGGGCTACAGAAATCAAATTTCAGAATCTTTCTATAAACATGAATCAATCTAGATAAGAATCTACCTCTAGGTAATGAGATAAACTTCTCAAAACTCCAAAGAGCAAGTTGTTCTGTGTTCAATCAACAAAAAAATAACTCAATTTACACAAATCTGAGTTCAAAATCACACAAAAAGGAATCAAAACATTGATCTTTTTAATGCCCAGAACCACAGATTCATAGTTGATTCAATAATTTTGAAAACAAAATGAAGAAAAGATTGATCTTTTCAATGCCCAGAAGTAGAACGGAGGAGGACAAGAGATGGATATCTGATTTGACGATTTTGAAAACAATTTTTTGAAATGGGTATGCTTGAAATCGATGAAGATGAAGTGGGTTTTTGTTTTTTGGTGATGGGAAAGGGGTCGAAGACTGGATGGTTGCAGAATCAGGTCGAAGACGACCAACCAAAACTGAACCAAAAGCAACGAAACACAAAGAGAAGAGAAGAGAAGAGATTGTACCAATTGTTGTCGCCGCTGAACCAGGTTGAAGTCTCCAAAGAGATATTGAAACCCTTCTAGATCAAAATGCCCAAAATCCATCTTCGAACCCTCTCTCTTCTTCCTCTCTTGTTGACTTCAAACCGTCTCTTTTCTAACCGTCTCTCTTCATCATTTCTATGTTCCTTTATGATTAGAAGTCATTAGAACCCAAACAGTTCTCTCTTCTTGACTTCAAACTGTCCCTTTTTGAACCGTCTCTCTTCACCATTTCTATGTTCCTTTATGATTAGAAGTCATTAGAACCCAAATAGTTGTGTATTTTGATTTTTTTTTTTTTTTTTTTTGCGTCGAATATTTGGGTACTACACACGGTGTTGAGGCCGTTGAAAGAGAGAGAGAAGCGAAAGAGACTAGGGCAGGACTGGGCTGGGAATGAGAATGAATTAGGGATTTCAGATACACAACCAAGAAGAGAGTGGAAGCATGAGACGACGATAGATACATTTGATTTCAGATATACAACCAAAGAGAAGAGATGAGATGATCCTGATAACCTAGCAATTAGTTCGACATTCATCATCAATCAGAGAGAGAAAGATTGAAACCTTGTGATGTTCTATTCTGATTAGAGGAAGGCAAAATAGTTATTTTACGAAAAAAAAATTTCTAATATATATATATATATATTTTTGGTGATTGGTACCCCAAATTTCATTTTGGCGATTTTTTTTTTTTACCATACAATTCACGACATGCATTGTGTGTCGTAAAAAAATAATACTTTTAGCGGTAAGCGATATGTGCGTCGTAAAAAGTGCAATACTTTTAACTGCAAGCATTGTGTATGCCGTGAAAATATTGAATATTTTCAATATTTTCACGGCTGGCATATGTGCGTCGTGTGTAATTGATATATTAATAGTACGCCATATGCACGTCATAAAAACTTTTATTATTTACGGCGTGTATTGCAAGTCATAAAAAAATCATCGTTATTACCATTCATAGCCTACGCAATAGACACGTCGTGGTTAGAAAAGTATTTATGACGTACAAAAAAACAAGTCGTAAAAGTGAGAAACTACGGCGTGCATTTATTGTATGTCGTTGATGTGGTGCCGTAAAAAGTTTGTTTTGTTGTAGTGGATGGTTTGGACTTGAAATGAATGAGATATGATTTTTCAAAATTGATGCATGCAATCTATCTTGTGTACATAATTTCAATTTTTTTCCCCTTCATTTTTAACCTCAAATATGGTTGAATTAAGAAGTTATTATGAAATAATGATTTGTATCCCTTTGAGTTAGCTTTCCAATGCGGCTTGATTCATCTCAATTCGATGTTGTATGAACGAGATATGCCCAAAATACTGAGTTTTGTGTAGAGTTCCATTAAACTTGGGACTGAATTAAATCCAGTATTTGCTCCTCAAACTAATTATGGGGCGTTTACGCAAAAGTCTCATTTTATGAACTTATATTCTATTCAGTCTTAGATAAGATTTTTTACTCCTTCAAGCCCTATTAATTTTTAATAGATGAAATTATCCTTCAAATAATGGTTAGTCATCATTTGTAATTGTTAATAAAAGAGTATGGTTATGTGACAGTTATTTTAACTTTTATAAATTCAAAACATCATAATTTATAATATATATTTATTTTTAATAAAATTTATATATTTAGAATCAACACAACCAAATCTATCAAATAAGACTACTAAATATAAAATTATATAAAAATAAAACTATATTTTTATTATAAATTTACAGTTTAAACAATTTTTAATAGTAAGTTTTCTTAAATTACTGTACTAACAATTTTACTTAGTCTACTTTTTTTTCTTATAAAATATATGGAGTTGGTTGAGTTTATTAAGATAAAATTTCATACAAAATTGAGGAAGTTACACTAAAAATCTATAAATTTCATCCAAAAATTAAAAAAATTAAATTGTAATAACTATGAAATTTATCTAAAATATATGATTCCTATTATTTGAAAAATGTTTCAGTTGAAGAAATTTCTCAATTTAAAAAATTAGAAAATAAGTTAGTTTACAATTTTCTAACCATAAATTAAAATTTTAAAGTATCTATTTCACATATAAACATACATAAACAAATTGAGAAATATCTCAATTACGGAACTAATAAAACTAAAAAAATTCTTAGTTGACGAAACAATTATATGGAATATTTCTGTGTAAAAGTAAAATATATATATATATATATATAAGTCTTTTTTAGTTTTAAAATTGAGAATATTATCAACTTAAAACTGAAAAAATTGATAATATTCTCAATTTTAACACTGGAAAAAATTTAAAAAATTCTCAAAAGTTAATAATATTCTAAATTAATACTGGAAAAAAACTAAGAAATTTCTAAGTTTTACTGGATAGTTTCGCAAATTGAAAAATTGTTAGTTTCGTATAGCTAAAACAAATAAATTTTTTTTTTAAAAAATTTTATATTCAATATTGGTCTTTTTTTTTTTTGAGCTTTTTGAGCAGCAAACTGTAGACGTCCCCGAACGTCCCAGAAGGGAAATCCCATTTTGTTCATATGGGCTCACTACAGTTCGGACTCAAATGTCACGGTTCTGTATCTAATCTTGCAGAGTGCAATGCAAGACTAATGAATCATCAAAGAGTCCAAAATCGGCAAATCGTTTTTGAAAACAGACTTTTTGAAAGAAGTGCCACACATGGACTGCTTTGCCAGATACAGAGTCACCATCTAAATATTTTATTTTGGGAAATTTAGGAAACCCTGACTCGTTTGCCTAAGGCCACGTGTCCGTCATCACCAAAGTTGCCTCGGCTCAGGAACTTGGGTACGATTGAGGAAGGTCACTTCGTGAGTACCCCCGCTCGCCCGATCAAAGATCGGCCTCTACTAACCATGATATTGAGTTTTGAAAACATTATATGCTCTTATTCCGGTTGTTAGCCTAGATTTACTACGTGATGTGCACAGCATACAAGTATAGACCGGATCACCTGAATTGGATCAAAACATTTCATGTTTGTTTTTTAAAGGGGTTTGTTACTCGCAAGTAGGCTCAAAATGCATATTTTGCCACCCTTGGGTGGGCTTAGAAAACATGGTTTTGCCACTATCTAGTGGGCTTAAAACTCACAGTCAATGCATTATTCCAATTCAGATAATCCAACCTTCACCCACAGGCATTTAGACAGGTATATCACATAAGCAAATAGCCTCATGGTAAGCATGCTATCATGGCAGTCACTCACGCGCATGCAAGGATGCTAAAACATAAAACTTACCGAGTACTCCAAGCCAAAACAGAAGCTGATTAGAAATCATGCATGAATCCTAACTATGCTGGAATGCCTAATGCAACACATGCAAAATGCAACTAAAATAGGCTCGGCTATTCTACAATGGCATGTGAAATGCTACAAGTAACACGTATTCAACTCGGAATTGAAATACAATGCAGTTAGTATGATGCGCCGAGCCCGGTGCATGCAAGATAGATGAATGAATGCAAACATGCGAGCATAAGTATGCTAATCGAAACATGCCCTAATCTAATCATCATAAGCTGATAAATAAAAGGGAGAAAGACGTGGGGTTGGAAGACATACATCACACACACGCACACTTATTACAACATTGCCCCCCTCGAGGGGTCTGAATAAATAATACAGTCCGAATAAATAACAGCTACAGCTAATTATTACACAACATTAACTAATTAACAAACTAGCTAAGTAAGCATGTAAACTACATGAATGTGACTGCCTCAGCTCTGTTTTGGGTGACGATGGATGCATGCATGCTCGAGTCGCCTCGTCGGGAAATTCCATCGCGATGCCTCGTCTCGCCTTTGTTTGCAACTGATTTTAGAAATTTGCACAAGGCTCCAAGA